GCCCCCAAGTTATTGGAACCCTGGGAGGGAAATGGTCCATACGCTGTCAGAACTGTTCTCGGCTGGGTGGTTAATGGTCAATTAGATGGCAATGGTGATCAGGAAGGCTCATCGGTAACAGTAAATAGAATATCAGTGACCAAGCTGGAGGAACTGCTCAAGAACCATTATAACCATGATTTCTGTGAGAACCCAACCAACAAACAGGAAATGTCCAGAGAAGATCTAAAGTTTCTCAGCATTATGGACACTTCTGCAGTAATGCAGGAAGGAAAGTACTGCCTAACCCTACCTTTTAAAGGGATGGATGTCGGATGGATGGATCTTGTTGTGGCCAAACAAAGAATACAAGGCCTTAGAAAGCGGAGGAATTTGGAAGAATTTGGTATATTCCTCACCATGGAGTCCATCACCCTAGAAAAGGATCACTACGCGTGGTGTTTGATTGTGCTGCAACATTTAAGGGAGTGTCTCTGAACAGTGAGCTATTGCCAGGGCCCAATCTCACGAGCACACTTCTGGGCGTCCTCATGAGGTTCAGACGGGAACCAATAGCCATCATGGGAGATATTAGAGCCATGTTCTATCAGGTGCGTGTGCCTGAAGAGGACAGAGACTTCCTCCACTTTCTCTGGTGGCCAGAAGGAGACACTACACAAGAACCAGTGCCTTACAGGATGATGGTGCATTTGTTTGGAGCAGTTTCATCTCCAAGCTGTGCGGGCTATGCCTTAAAGAGAACTGCCAAAGACAATCAGAATGAATTTCCAGCAGAGGTCATAGAAACTGTTAGACACAACTTGTATGTTGATGATTGCCTAAAGAGTTCAGCTACAGACAAGGAAGCAATCAAGATGATAAATGATCTTGTTGCGCTGTGTGAAAGGGGAGGCTACACGTTGGAAAAATGGATAAGCAACAGTCGTGTTGTTCTGCAAGCCATCTCAGAAGAGCAAAGAGCTAAGGATTTAAAGATGTTAGATCTGGATATCGATGAGCTTCCAATGGAAAGAGCTCTGGGTCCCCAGTGGTGTGTGGAAAGTGATGCTTTAAAGTTTAAGATGGATCTGAAACATCAGGCCCTGACCTGGCGTGGAATGCTGTCTGTCAACAGTTCTGTGTTTGACCCGTTGGGGTTCCTGGCGCCAGTGACATTGCAGGCAAAAATGATGCAGCAGGAACTGTGTAAAAGAGGCTGCAGCTGGGATGATGCATTACCTCAGGACGTTTTACACCAATGGAAAAGGTGGCTGGAGGGGCTGACCCTGCTGGCTGCATTCGGTGAATAAAACCTGTCGGATTTGGAGCCATAAAGCATGCACAATTACACAATTTTTCAGACACCAATGAAGCAGGCTATGGGACTGCTATGTACATTCGTATGACAAACCATGAAAACATCATCCATGTTGCCTTTCTCCTTGGCAAGGCCAGAGTAACACCACTGAAGACCATAACCATTCCACGGCTTGAGCTGTCTGCAGCCGTTCTAGCTGTAAAAATTGATGCTATGGTCAAGGCAGAGCTGAACATACGACTGGAAAATTCTGTGTTCTGGACTGATAGCATCTGTGTTGAAGTACATTAATAATGAGGACAGGCGCTTTCACACATTTGTGGCTAACAGAGTTGCAACCATCAGAGAGTTGTCTGAGCCCGCTCAATGGAAACACATCAGCACAAAGGAAAACCCAGCTGATTATGTGTCTAGAGGACTGAAGGTATCAGACTTCCTGAAAACCAGTGCGTGGTTGGAAGGACCAGCATTTTTGCGGAAAGAAGAGGAAAAGTGGCCTGAAAATGTGTTGGACGTGGCTTTGGATGTTGGAGACAAGGAGGTTAGGAAGGAGGCTGCAGCTTATACAATCAGCATTAACACTCCTCCTTCAGACTGGAGGAGACTTAAAAAGGCAGTGGCCTGGTACTTGAGGATGAAGAGTGTGTTGAAAGAGAAATGTAAATGTAGAAAACAGTTGGACATTCCAGTGAGAAAAAATCCAGTGGTGCACAAAATGAACACAAGAGGGCGCCAGAGGACCACTAATGACCCAAAGAGCAGCAGTCTGTCCACGGCGGAGTTACAGAGTTCTTCATCATTTTGTTCTGCCAGCAACAAAGGTTCAAGTTTGAGATTGAAGCTCTATCGCAGAACACCAGAGTGAGCCGACAGAGTTCCATCTATGCGTTGGATCCTGTTTTGGACAGGATCCAAATCCTGGCTAAAGAGCAACACATCTCTGAATTAATCCTCAAATGCTTTCATCAAACTCTCAGATAATTCCGGACGAGCTCACACTCTGTCAGCTGTAAGAAGAAAGTTTTGGATTACAAAGGGAAATTCTGCTGTGAGAAGGATTATTGGACAGTGCAGTATCTGCAGGCGATACAATGGACGTCTCTTAATGCAAAAAATGGCTGACTTACCTGCTGCAAGGATTCTCCCAGACCATCCCCCTTTTACCAACACAGGGGTTGATTACTTTGGACCAATTGAGATTAAAAGAGGAAGAACATGCTGCAGAAGATATGGTGTTATATTTACCTGCCTGGCGAGACGAGCCATTCATTTGGAGGTAGCAGCTACTCTTGACACAGATTCCTGCATAAATGCGTTAAGTCGATTCATCAGCCGAAGAGGACAAGTGAAACATCTGTGGTCTGACAATGGAACAAACTTTGTTGGAGTTGAGAGAGAACTGAAAGAAGCTCTTGTCAAACTGGACCAGGACACAATAAATTTGTTCTTGGCACAGGTAGAAATTAATTGGACTTTTAACACACCTGCTGCCTCCCAGTTTGGTGGTGTTTGGGAGAGAATGATCCGACTGGTGAGAAGGGTGCTGAACTCAGTGCTGCGTCAACAAACCCTGGATGATGATGGTTTAAATACAGTGTTGTGTGAAGCTGAAGCCATTTTGAATGATCGTCCTATTACAAAACTCTCAGACGATCCAAATGACTTGGAGCCTTTAACACCAAACCATCTGCTCCTGCTTAGAGGAAAGCCAACATTTCCTCCTGGGATTTTTAAGCCAGAGGATCAGTATGGAAGGAGGCGATGGAAACAGATTCAATACCTGGCTGATCTTTTCTGGAAGAGATGGGTTCGAGAATATTTACCCTTGCTTCAAGAAAGACAGAAATGGAACGAGAAGATGAAAAATCTTGCTGTTAGAGATGTTGTGGCCATTATGGATCCATCTGCCCCTCGAGGATCTTGGCCGCTTGGAAAAGTTTTGGAAGTTTTTCCAGATAGGCACGACCTTGTGAGATCTGTGAAGTTGAAAACTAAATCCAATATTATTGAGAGACCAATTTCTAAGCTTTGGATGGTATATGGAGTCTAATCACTGTGTATAAGCCACATTTGAGGAACTCATTTGGTCTCCTTTATGGTTATTGTTTGAGAAAAAATTGTCATGTTTGTTTATCATGCCAATTAGGGGCCGGTGTGTGTGTATCTTTTATTTGGGCCACTAGATGGTGCTGTAGGCTCATATATATATTTATATGTGAGGGGTCAACAGGTAGTAGGGAGGTGTTGACTCCCGGAAGGGCAAACAAGTTTTTGACCGCTACGGCGGTGTTTGATGAACACTGTTGTCGTGTTAAGTTCTGGGAATCTTCGTGCTTGTGGACCTTGTGTGCTGTGCATCTGTATGGAGGACAATAAAATGGTCAAATTGCAACGAAGACGATGCCTCTGGATCTAATTTACACGTAACAACAGGTTCAACATTAGCTGCCTGGCGTGTCATAGGTAGCTACGGGACAACAACTCTAGCACAGTATTAGACTGGCTATTATACTCCCGTTCCACCACATCCCAAAGATGCTCTATTGGGTTGAGATCTGGTGACTGTGGGGGCCATTTTAGTACAGTGAACTCATTGTCATGTTCAAGAAACCAATTTGAAATGATTCGAGCTTTGTGACATGGTGCATTATCCTGCTGGAAGTAGCCATCAAGGTGGGTACATGGTGGCCATAAAGGGATGGACATGGTCAGAAACAATGCTCAGGTAGGCCGTGGCATTTAAACGATGCCCAATTGGCACTAAGGGGCCTAAAGTGTGCCAAGAAAACATCCCCCACACCATTACACCACCACCACCAGCCTGCACAGTGGTAACAAGGCATGATGGATCCATGTTCTCATTCTGTTTACGCCAAATTCTGACTCCAGTCTTCAACTGTCCAATTTTGGTGAGCTCTTGCTAACTGTAGCCTCTTTTTCCTATTTGTAGTGGAGATGAGTGGTACCCGGTGGGGTCTTCTGCTGTTGTAGCCCATCCGCCTCAAGGTTGTGCGTGTTGTGGCTTCACAAATGCTTTGCTGCAGACCTCGGTTGTAACGAGTGGTTATTTCAGTCAAAGTTGCTCTTCTATCAGCTTGAATCGGTCGGCCCATTCTCCTTTGACCTCTAGCATCAACAAGGCATTTTCGCCCACAGGACTGCCGCATACTGGATGTTTTTCCCTTTTCACACCATTCTTTGTAAACCCTAGAAATGGTTGTGCGTGAAAATCCCAGTAACTGAGCAGATTGTGAAATACTCAGACCGGCCCAACAACCATGCCACGCTCAAAACTGCTTAAATCACCTTTCTTTCCCATTCTGACATTCAGTTTGGAGTTCAGGAGATTGTCTTGACCAGGACCACACCCCTAAATGCATTGAAGCAACTGCCATGTGATTGGTTGATTAGATAATTGCATTAATGAGAAATTCAACAGGTGTTCCTAATAATCCTTTAGGTGAGTAAATATAAAGTTGGATATATAACTATATAATAGTGCAGCTCTATATATACACATTTGAAGAGTTTGAATCTGACTATTTTCTCAATCAGCAGGAGAATATTAACTAAATATTTCCTTAAAAACAGATTGAATTCATTTGAGTTTGCAGAACAAGTGCCTGTAAACGTATCTAATGTAACTGTGGTTCTCAGGTGAAGATCATAACCTCATATCAATATTCTGCATGTCTGATTTCAGGGATTGTGGCGCTGAAACCTTCGTCAACTTCGCCTCGTTCGAGCGGGACGGGAAGATGCCGTATAACTGGTATGAGCTCGTGCGCTCCTCTGTTGGTCACACAGTCGATTATCAGTGGCACTCGCACACAGACAGACAGGAAGTGACATCATCGCTCTCGCTGAAACACATACACACACACACACACACATGATTAATATAAGAGCTTAAAGAGGGTCAGTAAAGGCAGATTTTGGGCTGTTAATGAAGTCAAACGTTTTTGTCCTTTGAGATGTTTAGTCCTTCAGAGGATCTTCCTCAGACTCGATGCGACGGCAACACGACGGTTTCATATATTAATTAGTAGAATAAAAACTGACCTTGCATGAGCTGTTTGTTAGAAAAGCACATGATTTTACACAAAACTAGTGCTAGGCAACGATTAATCACATCTAAAAAAAAGTTTGTGTTTACATAATATATGCGTGTATAATTATTTTGTATTTATAAATACACACATGCATGTATACATTTAAGAAAAATGTGTTATTTATATATACAATTTTAATATTAATATTTAATATAAATTATGCATATATATATATATATATATATATATATATATATATGCTACATATATATGCAAATATTTCTTAAATATATACATGCATGTGTGTGTATTTATATATACAAAATAATTATACACACATATATTAAGTAAACCCAAACTTTTATTTTGGATGCGATTAATAGTTTCCCAGCACTAAAAACTACATTTTGAATAGAAGACCAAGATATTAAGTCTTTATTTATCCAAATTAAGTGAGTTTTTGTTTACAATAACAAATTTCTGCAAATGGGTCAGACATTTTTTTCTCCCTTGAAATAAGATTATTTTTCTGACCTCATTGGCAGATATTTTGTTATTTAAACATACACTCTGATACATTTTTCAAAAACAAGACTTAAAGGGGTCATGACATGGATTATTTTAATTATTTTAATGTTCCTTGAGGTTAACCTGTTAAGCTTCAAGCCCACTTTTGAAAAATCCCCAGAAATCACATACCCAAACTGAAACAGATACAGTTCATGAACCCTTTGCACTAAAAGCACAAGTATGATCTCATTTGAAAGCTGACACCTGGTTGTTTATTGTAAATGTAGAATGAATTATTGTCATAATGAAAAAAAACAATTTTAAATAGCTTCAAAGTTTTGTAAAGTTATTAGAAATTTATTTTTATGAAACATCTTTATGAAAATAAAATGGAAGTTGGCCCTGGAGCAATCTAGAAATGCACTGCAGCTAAAGCCACATGTCTGACCATTTTATATTTAAAATCTGAAAATGATAAGTATAAAACTCTGTATTTAGTTAAATGTTTTTCAAGATCATGTCAAATTACTTTATTTTGATTAGACTCTATTAGCAAACTGATGTTTAGTCATCCTCTGAGTCATCTATTCAGTCTATTGTCTCTATTGTTTTGTGGTGCCCCATTCAGTGTCAGTCTCCCCTGTACACATTCACACCTCTCCAGACTGGTTATTATGGATCTAAATATGCATTTCTTTTGTCTGCATTATAGCTACTAACGACTGGCTATTCACAGGCTATTCATAGGGTTTCAAACCCTAATTTCTTTTATCAAAATTCTCACTAAATATTTGAAACTGGTATCAAATGCACTGAAACATTTCAGTAAGCATTCCTATTTAGAAAAAAATCATAAAACAATAACTGCTCGTGGCAGGTGCGCCTGGGCTCGCTAGCATGTTAGCTTAGCACACCATCAATACACGACCATTTATGAGATTAAAATTATGTTTGTGCTCCAAACTTACTATATAACGCAAGTCTAGTGTTTTAAATAATCTTCTGTGATCTAACTTGGCTTCATATAAAAAAAAAATCCGACAGAAAATGTATTATTTAGTGTTCTGAACGATGATGAAATCTATATCGATTAGCATTACATTATAAATATAATCTATTATTATGAAATACCTGGCATGGCTTGAAGAACACAGGTAACTCAAATATCATTGCAATCATGTTTATTGTTTTCAAAACATCTTTATCTGCATGTTACAGCGATCTCTGTCAGCTACTTTCTGTATCACTCAGTGACGTCCTGGAATGTCACATGACTATGGGTCTTCTTCTTCATGATCCATATATGGACTTTTATTGGACACATATAGCGCCCCCATGCCATTGGTATGAATGGAAAACACAGCACATCTCAGTAAGAAGCGATCATAACTTACATCGACGCATTTGGGTATAAATTCAATAAATATTATTCCTGTCTATAGAAATATGATGTGAATCTATGAGAATATATCAATATTTCTCCACATCTGCACATTGTTGAGCTAAAAGCCCTCAGGGACGTTGTTTTGTGAATCGCTGTCATGACGACAGCACGGAGTGTTTTTTATGAATGGACCAGCTGACGCTCATAATTCATATTAAAGGTATCGACTCATTGTTTTCATTTCATAACTCCTGACACAAATTAAGACATAACTGTCACTATAAGTTTCTCAGAATACAATAGTGGTCAAATACTGAATCTTGAGGCTTATATCTTTTTAATGATGTATAGTTTGTCAAGGTATAACATTAAATCTGATAGTATATTTGAACTAAATAAAAAAAAAAACGCTTCAGTGCGCCGACGCTCTGGAGACGGTTAAGAGGTTAACTTATAATATCAATAAAATATATATATAGAATTATTTTCTACCTTCATTCAGAAATGATCATTTTTTAAGGCGTGTGAGTTAACGTCCGCTGTTATGATTGGCTAACGTGTCAGTAAACGCCCACTGTTATGATTGGCTAACGTGTCAGTAAACGCCCACTGTTATGATTGGCTAACGTGTCAGTTAACGCCCTCTGTTATGATTGGCTAACTTGCAGTAAACGCCCACTGTTATGATTGGCTAACGTGTCAGTTAACGCCCACTGTTATGATTGGCTAACGTGTCAGTAAACGCCCACTGTTATGATTGGCTAACGTGTCAGTAAACGCCCACTGTTATGATTGGCTAACGTGTCAGTAAACGCCCACTGTTATGATTGGCTAACGTATCAGTTAACGCCCACTGTTATGATTGGCTAACGTATCAGTTAACGCCCACTGTTATGATTGGCTAACGTGTCAGTTAACGCCCACTGTTATGATTGGCTAACGTGTCAGTTAACGCCCACTGTTATGATTGGCTAACGTGTCAGTAAACGCCCACTGTTATGATTGGCTAACGTGTCAGTAAACGCCCACTGTTATGATTGGTTAACGTATCAGTTAACGCCCACTGTTATGATTGGTTAACGTATCAGTTAACGCCCTCTGTTATGATTGGCTAACGTGTCAGTAAACGCCCTCTGTTATGATTGGCTAACGTGTCAGTTAACGCCCACTGTTATGATTGGCTAACGTGTCAGTTAACGCCCTCTGTTATGATTGGCTAACGTGTCAGTAAACGCCCACTGTTATGATTGGCTAACGTGTCAGTAAACGCCCACTGTTATGATTGGTTAACGTATCAGTTAACGCCCACTGTTATGATTGGTTAACGTATCAGTTAACGCCCACTGTTATGATTGGCTAACGTGTCAGTTAACGCCCACTGTTATGATTGGCTAACGTGTCAGTTAACGCCCTCTGTTATGATTGGCTAACGTGTCAGTAAACGCCCACTGTTATGATTGGCTAACGTGTCAGTAAACGCCCACTGTTATGATTGGCTAACGTATCAGTTAACGCCCACTGTTATGATTGGCCAACGTCACTGCGTTGTTAATCTGTCTACTGTATCAGTGTAGACAGCGTCAGTCATTATAATGGCTTCTGTTTGCTTCTGACGCACAAAGGCAAATGACAGTCATTAAGCGACTGAATGCCAGTGGGCGGGGCCTATTGCACAAGTGGGCGGGCCCTATGCTGCAATGATATATTACTATTGGCCGATGTCTTGCTCTGGAGGCGGGCATATGCGAATTTGATTTCTCATGTCATGACTCCTTTAATATCAGTTATTCTGCTTCTCCAGTAAATGCATCTTGATTGAACATGTTTCGATATTTGTGCTGGAAAACGAGACAGAAACATCATATTTTGCAGTGAATATAAACATGCAGTGGTTAATATGGTGCGTCGCATCAGTTATGATTGAGTTGCACGCGTGTGTGTTTTCTGTTGTGCGTCTGTTAATATCCAGCTGAGACGATCAGATGATTTCTGTCAAGTCAGTCACACACACACACACACACACTCACACACACACAGCGATGACACTGACTGCATGAAACGTTCATTAACCTGTCGAACACTAATGAAATATGCTCAATCATCTGTGTGTGTGTCACTATTACTAATGGAGCATCATGTTTTGTCCCCAACTTTTTGCCCTTGGTCTTTTTTTATGTCTTTTGCTTTTCTGTTTTGTTGAAACGGCTTCAGGCGCAGGAGTCTCTTTGCGTTCCTCACGCTTCTGCCATCCTGCCTTTGGACTGACTATCTTTTGGCCTTTTATATTAATCCGTGGTAAGTATCGGCACGGGCGACGCCGAGCTCTGGAGACTCTAACACACACACACACACACACACACACACACTGTAGACTGACTGTAGATGCAGACTGAGCTCTTTGTTTCTGTGTCTGACTCCAGCATGACACTAACGCTCTGCATGACGTCTCTCTCTCACACACACACACACACACACACACACACAGCTGTAACCCGACAGCTTCACGTCCTGCATGTTTGCTCTAGTTCCTCTGTTCTGTGTTGGACTGAATGCAGATTTTCTCCTTTTCTATTTCTTTGATTTCCTAAAGGAATGTCCCGGGTGTAATACGAGCTGAGCTCTGGTGACGAGCTGTCAATCACCACGGGGAATCATAACAGTAACGCACTTATGATGAGAGTCTGTGGGGAAAGATTTACACTTATTAGAGATATAATGTATAATTTATAAAATTATATATTATGCATATATTAATAAGATTGTTTAAAAATATAAACAAAAAAGTAAAATGATTAAATGTCTATAAATGATACAAAACACTGTATAATCATCATTAAACATGAGTTAAAATCATAATATGGAAGGCTAAAGAAAAAGATTAATAATTATTAAATTTTATATTTAATATATTACATTTGAATAAAATTTAAAATACAAGTAAAAAAAAAATACAATCAAATATATTTGATCCAATAAAATGTAGGTAAATTTTAAAATGCTAAAAAAATAATTTGATATATATATATATATATATATATATACGGTATATATCATTTTTAATTATTTTTAAATTCTAAAGCAAATACACTGTTTTGGAATTATATAGATTTATATGTAAATGTAGATGATTATATACAAGTAAAAACAATATATAAAAGAAATCATTATTTTCTAATTATTTCATCAAATAAATATCTATATAAAGTATCAAATGAAACAATATATAAATAAATATATTTGTTATAAAAAGCATTTTTATAAATTCTAAAGAAAATACTGTTTTGAAAATGGATATATATATATAAATTATATGTATATATTATATAATTTGAATAAAATTATAAAAGTAAAAAAAATGTATAAAAGAAAATATTTATCAAATAAATATGTATATAAATTATAAAATAGAAAATACAGTTTTTAAATGATATATAAATATTATAAGAAATATTTATATAAATTCTAAAACAAATACACACTGTAAACAAATAAAATGTATATTTATTTAATATACATTTATATAAATTATTTTGAAAAATTAATACTGCTTTAAAAAAAACAGTCATTAAACATTATAAAATGTGATCAAATCACTTACTAACCTTGTCTATTAAAGTCCTATCAGATGTTTCTGTGTGTGTGTGTGTGTGTGTGGTTCAGGACGCCAGCGCTGAAGCTCGACAACCTGGAAACGCATGTGTAGTTTGTAGGATTCAGGAGTTCAGGAGTTTGATCTGTGTGTGTGTGTGTGTGTGTGTGTGTTGATCTCGGTTCATTGACGCTTCTGTGTGTGTTTGACCTGCAGGAGCAAAACTGCACTGAAGAAGAGGAAACTAACCAGGTAATACCAGAGTAAAACCATCCTGTGTGTGTGTGTGTGTGTGTCTTACGGGGTTGAACATGAGAGTGAGTAATTACTGACAGAGTTTAAATTTTTGGGTGAACTATCCCTTTAAATTTCAAACAGTCAAACTCGAGTTCTTTAAGCATGTTGTATGAACTGTTATGATGATGTGTGTGTCTTCAGCCCAGTTCAGCTCAGTGATTTCGACGCCTACATCAAAGACATGAGCAAAGATTCGGCGTACAAGTTCTCTCTGCAGTTTGAGGTAACCGAACACATGAAGGACACGTGTGTTTCTGTGAGTGTGAGTGTGTGTGTGACTGCTGTGTTTCATCCGTCAGGAGCTGAAGAGTGTCGGTCTCGATCTGTCTCATGAAGCTGCTGATCTGCCCGTCAACAGACCCAAGAACCGCTACACCAACATCCTGCCCTGTGAGTGGCCGGCCGCAAAGCCCCGCCCACTGTAGTCATAGCAACGCTGCTCTCATTGGCTACAGCCTGTGTGACCTCACACTTTTAAGTTGAATAATCAAAACAACCAGATGAGAAACATGAAAAAACTTTGATTTGTAAAAAGAAAAACTGTTGGAGGAATAATTTAATCCTCCTATAGATAATTTAATGATATTGAGTCAATATCAATGTTTCATTTTAAAACTATTTAATTATAAGTATAAAATAAAATACTAGTGTTGTCAAATCAATTAATCGCATCTAACAAAAGTTTGTTCATATTTCATATATGTATATACACACTCAGACACTCACACACAAACTCACTCACTCACACACACAAACTCACTCACACACAAACTCACTCACTCACACACACACAAACTCACTCTCTCTCACTCACACACACACACTCACTCACACACAAACTCACTCTCTCTCACTCACACACACTCACTAACACACAAACTCACTCTCTCTCACACACACATGCTCACTCACACTCAGACATACACTCACTCACTCACTCACTCACACACACACACACGCGCTCACAAACTTACTCACACACAAACTCACTCACACTCAGACATACACACACACACACGCTCAAACTCACTCACACTCAGACATACACACACACACACGCTCAAACTCACTCACACTCAGACATACACACACACACACACACGCTCAAACTCACTCACACTCAGACATACACTCACACATACACACACGCTCAAACTCACACTCACAAACTCACTCACTCTCACACAAACTCACTCACACACACACGCACACAAACTCACTCTCTCTCACACAAACTCACTCACTCACTCACACACACAAACTCACACGCTCACAAACTCGCTCACACTCAGACATACACTCACTCACACACACACACACACACGCTCACAAACTTACTCACACAAACTCACTCACTCTCACACAAACTCACGCTCACAAACTCACTCACACTCAGACATACACACACGCTCAAACTCACTCACACACACACTCACTCCCACACACACACGCTCACAAACTTACTCACACAAACTCACTCACTCTCACACAAACTCACGCTCACAAACTCACTCACACTCAGACATACACACACGCTCAAACTCACTCACACACACACACACGCACACAAACTCACTCTCTCTCTCACACACACACACACACACACACATGCTCACAAACTCACTCACACTCAGACATACACACACGCTCAAACTCACTCACACACACACGCACACAAACTCACTCTCTCTCACACACACACACACGCTCACAAACTCACTCACACTCAGACATACACTCACTCACACACACACACACACACACAAACTCACTCACACATACACACACGCTCACAAACTCACTCACACACACGCTCACAAACTTACTCACACACAAACTCACTCACTCACACACGCTCACAAACTCACTCACACTCAGACATACACTCACTCACACACACACACACACACAAACTCACTCACACATACACACACGCTCACAAACTCACTCACTCACACACACACGCTCACAAACTTACTCACACACAAACTCACTCTCTCACACAAACTCACTCACACTCAGACATACACTCACTCATACACACACGCTCAAACTCACTCACTCACACACAAACTCACTCACACACACACGCACGCACACAAACTTACTCTTTCACACACACAAACTTACTCTTTCTCACACACACACACACAAACTCACTCACACTGTCACTCACTCACACACACACACACATGCACACAAACTTACTCTTTCACACAGACATACACTCACACACAAACTCACTTACACATACACACTCATTCTCACACACATACACACTTATATACAAACGTTTATGTTAGATGTGATTAATCGATATGACAGCACTAATATTTACATGTAAAATATGAAAATATATACATTTTTGAGAGTGTCAGAAAGCTTGAAAATATCACCTGTGATGTTTGATGGCACTGAACTCTCACTGGTTTGATTCTCTTCAGTATTACGGGAGTTTAGTTCGGCAATTAAACCAAGCATTTTACAAACATATCTGAAGTTGAAATCCCTTGTGCGTTTCACCGAAGCAGAAATCATCACTGTTATTATTTATTATAGAGTCAGTGTAACAATTAACAATACATGATATTAAAGCTTAAAATATTCACATCTCCTTCCCCTTATTCAAAAGACTTAAACTTTTGTACCAAATGTAATGTTTATATATCGCTTTACCGCCGCCGAGATGGAGATATGACAGATGTAATAACACAATGCGCTGAACGTGTGTTTGGTCTCAGATGACTTCAGTCGAGTGAAGCTGATCTCGCTGCACAACGACGAAGGCTCGGATTACATCAATGCAAACTATATTCCTGTAAGTATATCATCATCAACATCTAATCATTCGATAACACACAAGTGTTCATTACTTCAGTGAGCTCATTGTTTCTGCCTTGAATTATTACATTGTTTAAATTAATAAATTTTTCGCTAACTGTGATTTGTATATGTACATTTCTGAAATGCATAACTTAGACAGTCTCCTCTGATAACAGAACTATCCAAACTGTAATGTGGACTTTCATGAAATGATGTGTATTGTGAAGAGCGCTGTGCATTGAATGAAAGCGTCAGATGTCAGTGTGTGCTGTGCGTCTGGTCTCCAGGGTTACGGCTCTCCGCACGAGTACATCGCCACACAGGGGCCGCTGCCCGACACCAGGAACGAGTTCTGGAAGATGGTTCTGCAGCAGAAGTCCAACATCATCGTCATGCTGACCCAGTGTAACGAGCGCCGGAGGGTCAGTTCCCATGGCAACCGCCTCCGCTGGCTGCCATGGTTACAGAGCGCTGTGATGAGGTGGTGTAGACACTAGCGGATGCTAACGGTGTGTGTGTGCTCGTGTGCAGGTGAAGTGCGATCACTACTGGCCGTTCACTGAGGAGCCGGTGGCGTACGGAGAGATCACAGTCGAGATGCTGTCAGAGACCGACTCACCCGAGTGGACCATCAGAGACTTCAGACTGGGATATGTGAGGACAACACATCAGACAGACAGATGATGGATGGATAGATAGAGAGATAGACACAGATAGAGATAGACAGACAGATGGATGACGGATGGAGAGATAGACAGACAGATGGACAGATAGATAGATAGACACAGATAGAGATTGACAGACAGATAGACAGATGGATAGACAGAGATAGAGAGACAGACGGAGAGATAGACAGATAGAGACAGACAGATGGATAGATAGAGAGATAGAGACAGACAGATGGATAGACGGACGGATAGATAGACAGATAGATGGATAGACAGAGAGATAGAGACAGACAGACGGATAGATAGACAGACAGATTGACAGACAGATGGATAGATAGACAGACAGAGATTGACAGATAGATTGACAGACAGATAGATGGATAGACAGATGGATAGACAGACAGAGATAGAGACAGATAGATGGATAGACAGATGGATAGACAGACAGAGATAGAGACTGACAGATGGATAGATAGACAGATGGATAGACAGACAGATAGATGGATAGACAGATAGAGAGATAGAGATAGACAGATGGATAGACAGACAGAGATAGAGATAGACAGATAGAGAGATGGATAGACAGAGATAGACAGATAGATGGATAGACAGACAGAGATAGAGACAGACAGACGGATAGAGAGACAGATGGATAGACAGACAGAGATAGAGACAGATAGATGGATAGACAGATGGATAGACAGACAGAGATAGAGACTGACAGATGGATAGATAGACAGATGGATAGACAGACAGATAGACAGATAGATGGATAGACAGATAGAGAGATAGAGATAGACAGATGGATAGACAGACAGAGATAGAGATAGACAGATAGAGAGATGGATAGACAGAGATAGACAGATAGATGGATAGACAGACAGAGATAGAGACAGACAGACGGATAGAGAGACAGATGGATAGACAGACAGAGATAGAGACAGATAGATGGATAGACGGATAGAGAGATAGATGGATAGACAGACAGAGATTGACAGATAGATTGACAGACAGATAGATGGATAGACAGATGGATAGACAGACAGATAGACAGACAGAGATAGACAGATAGATGGATAGACAGACAGAGATTGACAGATAGATTGACAGACAGATAGATGGATAGACAGACAGAGATAGAGACAGATAGATGGATAGACAGATAGACAGATGGATAGACAGACAGAGATAGAGACTGACAGATGGATAGATAGACAGATGGATAGACAGACAGATAGACAGATAGATGGATAGACAGATAGAGAGATAGAGATAGACAGATGGATAGACAGACAGAGATAGAGACAGACAGATAGAGAGATAGACAGATAGAGAGATGGATAGACAGAGATAGACAGATAGATGGATAGACAGATAGATGGATAGAGAGATAGAGATAGACAGATAGATGGATAGACAGACAGATGGATAGACAGACAGATAGAGATAGACAGAGATGGATAGACAGACAGATAGAGAGATAGACAGATAGAGAGATAGACAGATAGAGACAGACAGAGAGACAGACAGATGGATAGACAGACAGACAGAGTATCATGTGATCTGATGGTGTGTGTGTGTGTGTCCTCAGGCTGATGAGACTCAGGATGTCCTGCACTTTAACTACACGTCGTGGCCCGATCACGGGGTTCCCACGGTCAACGCCATCGAGAGCATCTTACAGTTCGTGCAGATCGTCCGGCAGCAGGTCAACAGAACCAAAGGCCCGATCGTCGTCCACTGCAGGTGAGAGGCCGTCAGCTGAGTGTGTGTGTGTGTGAGAGAGAGTGTGTGTGTGTGTGTGTGTGAGAGAGAGTGTTTGAGCCTCTCTGTTTGAGGCTTTGCTGAGACGAGACAACAGCTCTTCACAAGTGTTACTGACAGCATGATGCTCGTGTGTGTGTGTGTGTGTTCCCTCAGCGCTGGAGTGGGTCGGACCGGCACGTTCATCGCTCTGGACCGTCTGATGCAGCACATCCAGGAGCACGAGTACGTGGACGTCCTGGGCCTGGTGTCGGACATGCGCTCGCACCGGCTCTCCATGGTGCAGACTGAGGTACACCTGTGTGTGTGTGTGTGTGTGTGTCGGACATGCGCTCGCACCGGCTCTCCATGGTGCAGACTGAGGTACACCTGTGTGTGTGTGTGTGTGTGTCGGACATGCGCTCGCACCGGCTCTCCATGGTGCAGACTGAGGTACACCTGTGTGTGTGTGTGTGTGTCGGACATGCGCTCGCACCGGCTCTCCATGGTGCAGACTGAGGTACACCTGTGTGTGTGTGTGTGTGTGTGTCGGACATGCGCTCGCACCGGCTCTCCATGGTGCAGACTGAGGTACACAACTTGTGTGTGTGTGTGTGTGTGTGTCGGACATGCGCTCGCACCGGCTCTCCATGGTGCAGACTGAGGTACACCTGTGTGTGTGTGTCGGACATGCGCTCGCACCGGCTCTCCATGGTGCAGACTGAGGTACACAACTTGTGTGTGTGTGTGTGTGTGTGTCGGACATGCGCTCGCACCGGCTCTCCATGGTGCAGACTGAGGTACACCTGTGTGTGTGTGTGTGTGTCGGACATGCGCTCGCACCGGCTCTCCATGGTGCAGACTGAGGTACACCTGTGTGTGTGTGTGTCTGTGTATGTGTGTGTGATAGTGTGTTTGAGTGTGTGTGTTTGTTTGATTGTGTGTGTGCAAGTGATTTGTGTGTGTGATTGAGTGTGTGTGAGTTTGAGTGTGATTGTGTGTTTGAGTTTGTGTATGAAAGATTTTTTGAGTGTGTTCCAATGTGTGATTGTTCGAGTGTGTGTGTGTCTCTGAGTGTGTGTAAATGTAAAAAGTTGTGTGTGATGGGTAGGGTTAGTGTAAGAGGAGAGAATATACAGTTTGTACAGTATAAAAACCATTACTTCTATGGAAAGTCCCCTTAAAAACACAACGTGTGTGTGTGTGTGTGTGCAGGAGCAGTACGTGTTCATCCATCAGTGTGTCCTGCTCATGTGGAAGAAGAAGAAGCAGCAGTCGCACACTAGTGATGTCATCTACGAGAACGTCAGCAAGTCCTAATGAAGTGAGTTCAGTTTCACTCGATGCTGATAGAGTCGGGACTCGAATACTTGAGGTCAGGAGTTTCACAACCAAATGCTCCCGGAGTTCGGCGTGTTTGTTCGACCGCAGGAACGAGGAATGATTTCAGCTCCAGGAACTCCTTTAGAGGAACTGATTCACTCCTCCTCCAGAGTCGCTCTAACCCAGCGCTAGAGGAGCTACAGTGACGGTAGTGTTCGCTGATTGGCCGAACGCACGTGAAACACCAGCACCCGCCATTATTAAACCGGCTGTGTACACACACATTATAGCCTGTATATTTACTCCACAAACTAACTCTAAAACAGGGATAGATGAAGCTCTTAATCTTTGCACTGAGGAGAAAACCCAACACAAGTTTGAGGGATCAAGAGAAACATGATTATTCATCTATCCCTGTTTTAGAGTTAGTTTGTGGAGTAAATATACAGGCTATAATGTGTGTGTACACAGCCGGTTTAATAATGGCGAGTGCTGGTGTTTCGCGTGCGTTCGGCCAATCAGCGAACACTACCGTCACTGTAGCTCCTCTAGCGCTGGGTTAGAGCGACTCTGGAGGAGGAGTGAATCAGTTCCTCTAAAGGAGTTCCTGGAGCTGAAATCATTCCTCGTTCCTGCGGTCGAACAAACACGCCGAACTCCGGGAGCTCCCGCCAGTAATGATGAAAAGGTTCCTCGATGCGAAAGCCGCTATTGTCACTAAAATCGTTAAGTGTGAACTCTGCATAATGCTGACGTGTGTGTCGCTCTGTGTTTCCTCCAGGTCTGACTCACCGACACATCGACCGGCGACCGCAGAGGAGAGTCTCACACTCATTTACTCCCCATACAAGCTCTTATTTAACCACCAAACAAATCAAATGCCTTAAAAAGACGAGCTGCCTCGTTCTCCCGGCCCGACGGATCCATCAGCATCTAGTGTTTTAGTTTGTGTGTTAATCTCAGGATCATCTGCGCTTGTTTTAGGCCGGTGTAAAGTGTGTGTTGTGAGTTTATATCGCACTCTGTCTGTAATAGAGTTAGTTTTCACGTCTTCAGAAGAAGCCGAGCGGTTCGAAAACAGCGTTTTGGACCTTTAATCTCCATCACTGCCACACACTGATGCGCTCGAGGGGTTCCGGACAGACCATCATATCTGCCACTGTGTGAGATTCTTCGAGTGTGTGTAAGTGTGTGAGTGAGTAAGTGTGTGTGAGAGTTTGAGTGAGTGAATGTGAGTGAGTGAGTGTGTGTGAGTTTGAGTGTGTGAGTGAGTGTGTGTGAGTTTGAGTGTGTGAGTGAGTGAGTGTGTGTGAGTTTGAGTGTGTGAGTGAGTGTGATTGTGTGAGTTTGAGTGTGTGAGTGAGTGTGATTGTGTGAGTTTGAGTGTGTGTGTGTTTGAGAGTGTGTGTGTTTGAGAGTGTGTGTGTTTGAGAGGGGGTGTGTGTGAGTGAGTGAATGTGTGTGAGTGTTTGAGTGCGTGAGTGAATGTGTGTGTGTGTGTGATAAAGCAACGAAAGAGGGATTTTCCGAACAGACTGATGACATCTGAGGTCGACGCTGCGCTTCTGTGTGTTTCTGCTAAAGTTTCATCACACACACATCAGCTGAACCCCGACTTCGTCTGCACACACTGGATTGTCACGGAGTTGAGCTCGAGTTTACACTCGGCGACTCGTTCCAGTGGCATTTGCACAATTCCAGTGAAGCGGCTGCGGTCGGACTGAATGTGAGCGTCCAGCAACTCGTATATCATCATCATCATCATCTTCATCATCATCACTGCTGAATCTGACACTGATGTCGTGTTGCATGCTGCAAAATGAAAGACGTGAGATTAGTCTCATCTTTAGGTTTAGACTCGAGCTCAGAGTCCCAGCTGACAGGGAACGTTAAAGGAGGAGTTCACTTCAGAATTAAAATCTCCTGATAATTTACTCACACACACGTCACCCGAGATGTTCATGTCTTTCTTTCTTCAGTGGAAAAGAAATGTTTTTGAGGAACACACTCCAGGGTTTCTCAATACAGTGACTCAATGGGGTCCAACGGGTCGAAGGTCCAGATGTGAGTTTCAGTGCAGCTTCAAAGTCTCGACACCATCCAGCCGAGGAATAAGAGTCTGATCTAGACAAACCAGCGGACATTTATAACAAAATACACATTTATATACTTTTAACCACTAATGCTGGTCTTGCACGAGCTGTGATGCGACACACGTTACGTGATCAGGGTGAAAGGTCAAGCGGGACGTAGGCGTAAGAACAGACCCAGTGTTTACAGAGCGAACGTGCAAAGACTGAGTCAAACGCCATTTACAAAAAAAGGGTAAACCAATGATGTTGGAGGAGAAAATGAGTTTTTCGCCGTACATTTTCTGAACCGGAACACGCGTGACCTTTCACCCTGATCACGTAATGTGTGTCGCATCACAGCTCGAGCAAGACCAGCATTAGTGGTTAAAAGTATATAAATGTGTATTTTGTTATAAATGTCCGCTGGTTTGTCTAGATCAGACTCTTATTCCTCGGCTGGATCGTGTCGAGACTTTGAAGCTGCACTGAAACTCACATCTGGACCTTCGACCCCTTGGACCCCATTGAAGACACTATATGGAGAAACCCTGGAGTGTGTTCCTCAAAAACCTTCATTTCTTTTCCACTGAAGAAAAAAGACATGAACATCTCGGATGACGTGTGTGTGAGTAAATTATCAGGAGATCTTAATTCTGAAGTGAACTAATCCTTTAATAGAACGTTCGTTCAAAGTTATCTGGTCTTTAATAATGTTCTCAAAACATTAACATCATTCATGGAACGTTTAATTCTACAACATTTTTTAAATGTAAAATGAAACAATGTATCCTTGTTTCCGAATGTTCAGAGAACATTCAAATGTAACGTTCCCGAAGAATGCTAAAATGGAATGTTGAGCGTTTTTAAACATTTTAAAATGTTTTTAGAATTTTCAGAGAACATTGAGAAACGATGTTTCCGGGAAGATTCCGAACCAAACGTTCTTCGTTCTGTCAGCTGGGCCGTTATTTCACATTGCCTGTTCAGTCAAACACACGAGTGAGTTTACAAACGTCTCGAGTTTACAGGCTGTTTCCCTCGTCTGAGATGTGAGTTTTATAATATCAACTAGGCACTGAGCTGTAAATACTGTTTATTTCAAGAAGAAATGACAAAAGAATTGCTGTATTGTGTTAAAATGAACTGGTTCATCTTGATAAGAAGGAAACTGTGGATTCGGAGCGGACGGGCCACTTCACTTGATCAGTTTTCTTTCGTTTGTGTCCAGGTCAAACTCGTTTGTCTTTTGGTGCCATTCTTGTGTATTGTGTGACTTCAAGTAGCAGAGCAATCCACAATCGCCATCAGAGTTTTAATGTGTGTTTGTTTGGAAAAAAAATAAACGTTTGAACACGTATTCCTATGAGCTGTTTTGTGTGACAAACACGTCTTTATTTTTCTGCACTTTTTCAGACTCTTCTATGTGTTTTGTTTGCAATACGCATTAATATCGGTTGAGGTCGACCGATATATCGGTTTCCTGATATTTAAGCATTTTTCTTTAATCTGGTATAGATTTTGTAATATCGGATTCTCCGATAAATGGCGCCATCTTGGGGGCGTTTTGAGAATTTCGTGCACGGCCGCCATTAAACGAGTCAACAATGGTGTTCAAAGGTAAAATAACTTCCATCCCTTAATTAATAAACTTTATTTAACATAACAGCCATCAATGCACAAATGAGATATGTTACATAAATGCTTATTTAGTTTAAAACTTGGGACTAAAAATAGACGAACTCACGTTATCCGTCAAATCCTGTCCCAATAAAGTCGTAACTTTACATGCATTACATAAAAAAAAAGAATTTGTATTCACTATTCAGGCAGTTTTATTAATTTTTTAGAATTATTTCTGCATGCTATATTCATTGCCTGTTTGTTTACCTTATCAAAGATTTTATTTAAAAAAAAGACACTTTATTTTTATTTTGTTTTGCCCTCTTTCTATTTCTATTTATTGATGTAGAAATGTGTTTTTTATATGTAAGGAGGGATTAAAATTGCAAAAATTACAGTATTTAAAAATTGTGTTAAAAAAAACAGTTTGTTCGTGCTGTTATAATTGTCAAAAAACAGAAATAAAACCATAAATAAATATAGGTTTTAGGATAAATAAATATAGGATATCGGTTATCGCTATCGGGCACATAAACATGCAAATAATTGGTATCGGTTATAAAAGATCAATATCGGTCGATCTCTAATCTTTATTGGGACAGAACTTAACGGAGTACGCGACCGTGAGTTTGTCTATTTTTAGCGCCAAGTTTAAATTACATAGGCCTATCAAACATTTATGTAACATATTTTATTTGTGCATTAATGGATGTTATGTTAAAGTTAATTAATCAAAGCAAGTACCTTGACCGGTGAACACCGTTGTGCAGTGCTTTAATGGCGGTATTGCACGAAATTCTCAAGACGCCCACAAGATGGCACCATTTATCGGTTAATCTGAGATTACAAACCCAATACTCGTTAATGGAAAAATGCTTAAATCTACAACAGAAATAAACTTTCCATCATCATCATGTCTCTTATTTCTCTGGAGTCTGTTATCAAGGTTTTGTGTGTCAAACCCACACCTAATGTTATTGGTTTCCAGGGAGTTGGAGATTTATTGACGTGTGGCGATTGCTAACAGGGCAGAAAAAAAACCTGTTTTTATTTATTTACTTGTTAATTTTTATTGCAAAGGGAAAAAAAAACATACATAATCACAAAATTAAACTTTCAACAATCTAGCGTTTCCAATTTACAGCAGATAGCGTTCTCAGTTACGTTATATATTTACAGCCTATGCGATTAGCTTAAAATGGTTTGACCAAATACGGTAGCAGTCGCGCATGCACATTTCCAGGACAAACCAGGCGAGTAGGAGCAAAGCCGACTTCTATACATAAAGTCTTCAGTAGTATTCATGAGTTTGTCAATATTTGCGCAAATCGACATTACAGATTTGCGCAAATATTTTGCGATATTTTCTAAATGCCGATAAAAAACTATTGCCAAATTACACCGTTTCCATTAACGGATGTTATGCGGCTGAAACGTAATTTTTCCCTCTCGCGATAAGTCTTTACAATAATTATGCCAACAGATGCTAGCCATTATTTTAAATCGAAGGAGACATAGGCGTGTTATCCAAGCTTTAAAGGCACAATATGTACACTTTTTTTCGCCACAAGAGGGCGCAGTTTCCAACAATAACACAGGCGTAGGTTGATGCAGCGATGAGCTGAATGATTGGACTTGCTGTCAAGCTGACGGATCTAATAATGTTTATGGATGAGTGCAAACATTCATGTTTTTCAACATTACAGTGGTATGAAGCAGGTCGCGATTGCTAAAGAGAATATCACATGCGAGTCCCGCGGATATAAAGGAATAAGGACATTTAATTCTACAGAACTTCCCGCAAGTGCTGGATTACTCACAAGTTTAATTCGTCTAATAAACTGACCTGTGTGAGGTAACGCAGCGCTGCTTCACTTGGTATGATGTTACACTATCACACTAAACGCCATTTAAATGTGTGTTGAAAGTTATAATGTTATACTACGTGTTAGTTTGTTTGCTATACGAAACTAGCAGTAAGCTAGATCAACATTACCATATTCTAACATTTCATCATGTTGAGCTAACGTTATATAACATTGATTTGTTTTATGTATATTTGCTCACCTGTCTAATAAATGTGTCGAGTCCAAGTTAGTCGCGGACGCTAGCTCTCGGCATCTCAAAAACGCCACGCTGATATTGATCCTCATTTTAGTTCTCCTTGTTTGTCCCAAAGTCTGCTTGCCATGGTCTATGTTTGAAAGAAACAAGAACTGCGTGCCGCTAAACGCTACGCACTGCGCACTAGGGGTGGAACGGTACACAGAAGTCACGGTTCGGTTCATACCTCGGTTCAGACATCACGGTTCGGTACGATTTCGGTACAATGGAGGGAAAAGCAAAACAAAAATGCAGAAGGCATTGTATTTTTTTAATAAGTTTTATTAATAAAGGCATAGAACCAGTTTATTTGTAGTGCACTGACAATAGTTTTATATAATTAGTTTATTAATTAAATTAATAAAAAGACAAAAAGACCTTGCGA